GTTTTTTCCAATAGCTGCAGTTTATAGGTTGCAATGTAAAGCCACTGAGTGTGCTTTCTTTCTTTGTTCAAGTGAGTGATGGCTCTCTTAAACAAAAAAATGAGGAAGCAGGGTCAGACAAGATGTATTTAACTCTGTACAACCTGTACAGCCTCTGCCCTATGGAAAACTTCGCCCCTAAAGTTCAGCAGGCCTCCATCCTTCTTTTACAGCCTTCTGTAAGGCTTTAAAAACCTGATATCCCCCACCCACCAAGCATTGGGAAATTAGATTATGGCACTTTAGCAAAGACTAGCACCAGGTTTTTATTGTTTCTGATCTTGTATGTTTTAATTGGTTGAGCTTTATATTTTATAAAATGATTTAATGTATCTTTTAATTTTTGAAGGAGTCATCCAGAGTTGGTTGAAAGATGGATGGCTATACAAATGTTTTAAATACATAAAATAAAACCTGTAAAATTTTATTAATCAGATATTCATAGGCAAAAGGCATGTTGAATAAAACATTGCCATTATACTCAAGGTCAAAAGGGGTTAAATTTATTTACTTGCATTTTTCAGACATTTATTATTTGTCTATTAAATTTAAAATCTGTTTTTCCTGAGTCTAATGGATCCTAGTCAAACACATTAATCATTCAATCATGCTGTATCTCATTTTTTCAGTGATTTAACTGAAAGATATTTCTCGGTTATTTTCTTACATTTCTTTAATGAACCTTTTTTTTCTTTTTGGTGACAATTGCAGGCCAGTTTCAAGATGTTGAAAAAGTAACCATGGAGATAGTACAAAATACAAGAACACCTCTTTTGATTTTTGGCAGCATCCAGATATCTCTGAATTATTTTTTAAAAAATAAAGAGATGTTAGCTCATATTTCCCACCAGGGACAATTTTGAATCTATTTCAGACCCAAGGGAACAAACTGGGGGAAAAAAGTGGGGAAGCTTAGAAAAGCCTATTTGTTTCTGCTTGGTGCTTTGTTATGAAAAAACAAATAATTCAAAATTAGTTAGAACATTACATGTAAAAATGATAAAGTTATTTTCTAAGATGTTACATATAAGTATAACCTTGAGAATTAGAATAAAAGATGCTTCATATCGAGTAAACATTTCAAAACATAAATGCTTCCACTATCACTTAAAAGGTATTGTACATAATTGTTGTCTTTTTCTTCTCAGCAAATTTAACAATTTTATCTGAAAAAAATGACACAATTAGTACTGGGAAAAGATAGGAGGTTGAGAAAATGATGGCCAAACCAGAACTTACATTCTGTGAGTAAAGTGGGATAATTGCAGAGTAATAGTTTCATCTGGGAGCATAATGTGTCTTGATATTTCACCTATTTCGGCAGTTCTGAATATGATTGTCCTATATAAGCCTTGCTGAATTCAAGCTTGGATGCAGTTTTCTAGATCTGTTGCACAACAGTTCCCAGCAGCCTGCAGCCAACATGGTCAGTATCAAGAGATCCTTGAAGACATAATTCAACAACGTCTGGGGGACCTTATACAATCTTTGGGCCATCAGTTTTCAAGGACCTTGGGAGGGATAAGTGTTCTATATTAACATACTCCAAACGTTGAAATCTGATTGGTCCACACGGACCGCTTCCCGATTGGTCCACTGAACGGCCGTGATTGGCTTTCTAAGAATCAACCACGATTGGCCGAGCCGATCGCGGGAGATTCAAAGCCCTGTCATTGGCCGGCAAGCCGCGAGCATTCCCTATATGAAGGGCTGCCGTGGCTCCAAGATCTTGTACAGGTCTTAACTTAAATAAAGAGCTTGAAGTTCACTAGTCTCGCGTCTCGTCTGTACCCGATCAAACACTGGCGACGAAGGTGAGATGGTGAGACACCGAAACCAACGAAGCACGTGGTGAATCGACGCCAAAATCCAGACGAGATGGCCGGCAACACCTCACCACCCGCACCCTTCGACCAGGCTGCCGAGGATTGGGAATCATACATTGACCGATTCCTAATGTTCCTCGAGAGCAGCAATCTAAAGGATGCCAACGGACAGAAAAAAAGGGCCGTGTTCCTGACACACTGCGGGCCCGCAGTGTTCAAAATGGCTAAAGCCCTAGCCAAACCTGCCGACGTGAAGGAGATGGACTGGGCCGACCTCGAACCGTTGCTGCGGCACCACTATGCCCTCGCCGTGCCCAACCTCATCAGAAGGCACGAGTTCTATCGGCGGGACCAGAAAGAGGGCGAGAGCATCAGCGATTTCGTGGCCACACTGAGGGACCTCGGGGGCATGTGCGGCTTCACCAACATGGATGAGGCCCTACGAGCCCATGTGGTCCTCGGGCTCAGGGACCCCATCCTCCAGAGCTGGCTGATGGCAAGGACAGACATCTCAGTCACCGAGGCCATCGCCGAATCGACGGCGGCTGAAGCCACCAAGCGGTCTGCAGCCCGGATGCGGCAGATGCATGCAGCAGACCGACCAACGACCGCGGAGACGGCACCAACCCCAGAAGCACGACCAGAGGCCAACCACAAGACCACCACCACGCACCACGGAGACCACGACTCCTTCTCAGATACCAAGGACAAGGAGGAGGAGATCCACCGGCTGCAGGTGGAACGAGACCGGCAAGAGCGGCGAGGTCATAAGTCGGGGTTCCAGTGCACCGGGTGCGGGGGCGACCATCCACGCTCCGAATGCCGGTTCCTCGATGCCATCTGTCGGCACTGTGACAAACGGGGGCACATCGCCAAGGTGTGCTGGAACAAGAGGAACCACAGCCCTTGGCGACGAGACGGCAGCCCCCGATGACGAGAAGGCACCCCCCCAGGACCAGAGACCGTCACGCCGAGAACCGATGGAGCCGGGACGGGCGGAACAAGTGGTTCAGCGAGGCCAGGCGAAAAGAAGAGACCCATCAGACGGTCGTCATCGGGCACTCAACAACCCTCGACGCCTGGAAAATACACGTGGAGGTAGGCATCGAAGACCAGCCATGCGTGATGGAGGTAGATTCCGGATCCTACCTCTCCATGGTCTCCTGGAGCACAATCAAGCGCCTGGTGCCTACCATCCACAGGGGTGATCTAGAAAGCCAGAAGCTGACCCTGAAAGACTATCAGGGAAACCGCATTCCCATGGCCGGGATTGGGCATTTTAAAATATCCTTCAAGGGGTGCACAGAGGTACTTCCACTCACCGTCGTGAACAAAGACCGCCCAAGCCTGCTGGGACTACAATGGTTCGCGCCATTGGGGATCGAGGTGATGGGCATCAACCACGTCGCTGAGGCGGACTGGGAGGAAACGCTCGTGAGGGACTTCCAGGAGGTCTTCAATGGCGACCTAGGCAAGTACCGGGGGTCCCCAATATCCTTCAGCCTAAACCCAAATGTTGCCCCAATCCGCCTTAAGCCATGGCGAGTGCCATTCGCTCTCAAGCCCAAAATCGATGAGCAGTTAGACAAGCTCATCGCACAAGGGGTTTTAGAGCCTATAGACCATGCCCGGTGGGAAACTCCCATAGTCACCCCGATCAAGCCAGATGGGTCCATAAGAATCTGTGGTGACTACAAGGCCACCCTCAACCATGCATTGCAGCCAAGTGCCTACCCCGTCCCAGTGGTACAGCACCTTCTGCACTCACTGGGGGGAGGTAAGGTCTTCGCAAAACTCGATCTGGTGCAGGCATATCAGCAGCTGCCAGTCAATGCCAAGACCGCGGAGGCGCAGACTATCGTCACCCACCGAGGGACATTCTGGTGCAAACGGCTCCAATTCAGAGTCAGCGTGGCACCCGGGGTCTTTCAGAGCCTGATGGAAAGACTTTTACTAGGAATAAAAGGGGTGGTTCCCTATTTCAACGATGTACTGGTGTCAGCTACAAATAAAACCCAATTAGAAAGCCGCCTAAGGGAGGTCTTGCAAAAATTCAAAGACACCGGACTAAAAGTTAAAAAGGAAAAATGTCAACTTTGCACTGAGAAAGTTGAATTCCTGGGGTACCTCCTAGACAAAAACGGAATCCACCCCACGGAAAAAAAGCTCAAAGCCATCAGAGAAGCCCCTAGACCTAGGAATAAGACTGAACTGCAGGCTTTAACTTTTACAATGTTTTCCTGCCCCAGAAGGCGACAGTAGCGGAACCTCTCCATAGGCTGCTGGACAAAACAGCCACCTGAGCCTGGGGGAAGCAGGAGGAAAATGCATTCAAACAGACAAAAAAACTGCTAACATCAGACGCAGTTCTCATCCAATACAGCGAGACTCTGCCATTAGCCGTGACCTGCGACGCGTCACCCTTTGGCATCAGAGCCATCCTCAGCCACACGCTGCTGGACGGAAGAGAAGCACCCATCGCTTTCTTCTCGAGGACGCTATCCAAGCCGGAGAGAAACTACAGCCAGCTGGACAAGGAGGCCCTAGCAGTTGTCGCCGGAGTGAAAAGGTTCCATGAATACCTATATGGTAGGACCTTTTCAATCATCACCGATCACAAGCCGCTGCTGGGGATACTGGCAGGGAACAAGGCCACCCCGAACGTTCTATCACCAAGGATGACAAGGTGGTCCGAGTTCCTTGCCGCCTACTCCTACCAGCTGGCACACCGACCTGGGAAGAACATCATGCATGCAGACGCGTTGAGCCGCTCACCCCTGCCCGACCTGGAGGATGACCCGGCACCCACAACAGCAACGCTACACATAGAAACACTACCCAACCCACCCCTGACCGCGTCAGACATTGCCCGAGAGACTAATAAAGAAAAACGGCTGACGCGGGTCTTGAACTGGGTGGAAAAAGGGTGGCTGGAAAACGACAGCGGCGAACAATTCAGGACTTTTTGAAACTGGCAAACCGAACTCTTCACACAGAAAGGTTGCATACTTTGGGGGGGACAGGGTTGTGATCCCTGAAACACTACAAAAGAGGGTGTTGTCTATGTTGCATGAGGGGCACTCGGGCATAGTTAAGATGAAAGCCCTGGCCAGGAGTTACGCCTGGTGACCAGGAATGGACAAACAAATCGAGACTTGGGTAGCCTCATGCGGGAGATGCCAGGAAACCAGACCCAGCCCTCCCTCCGCCCCAATCCTGGAATGGGAAACCCCCAGGGGACCATGGTCCAGGATCCATATAGACTTCGCCGGACCAACCAAGGGGCACACATTCCTGATAACGGTCAACACTTACTCCAACTGGCTGGAGGTAAGCGCCATGAAATCCACCACCACGGAGGCTGTTATCAAAAAACTAAACAAACTATTCACCACCCACGGCCTACCAGATATGCTGGTATCAGACAACGGGCCACAATTTACTGCACTGGCATTTGAAAAATTCCTGGCAGAAAGGGGCATACGACATGCGTTGATAGCACCCGCTCATCCGGCGGCGAACAGGCGGGCGGAACGCAAGGTTCGTTACACAAAAAATACCATACAAAAAATCGAAACCGGGGACATACAGTAAAAAATAAATAAACTGCTATTAATACAACACATAACACCCAACACAACGACCAACAAAAGCCCAGCAGAACTCCTCATGGGCAGAAAATTACGGTCCCAGTTAGATAGACTGCACCCCACCTACAACCCCGAAAAACCCTCAGACTCATCAAGCAAACACTGAACATTTACGCTAAAAACTTCACGGGAGACCCGCTCTGGATTCCTGCAAAAATAACCCAGGTAACAGGCCCCCGATCATACCGCCTACAAACGGACGATGGAAGAAGCTGGAAATGGCACATCGACCAATTAAGGTCAAGAATAGCCACCGACAATGAAGACAACTCGCAAACACCACAAAAAGTCACTAATAAAGAAACCAGGGGGGGGGGAACCTCAAGCAATAAACAAACAGAAAAAGAAAACCCTAAAATACAAACCAAACACCCCCAAGCCAAAATAAACCAGCAATACTCACCGGTAGATGACGAACCAACAGCAGACGAACAACCCGGAGCTTCACCTGGAAGGAGCAGCCAAGCCAGTTCAACCAGCCCGGAAAGACCAGGCGGGAACAACGGAACCGGCAGCTCAACCAGCCCGAGTAGACCAGGAGAGAGCTACCGCAGTAGGCCCGGCTCACCCTTCCAGGCGGTTCCATCAGGAGAGATGAGAGCAGCAAGGAGTCCGTCCGAACCGGTTGAAGACCCAACATCAACTGAACCGCGCAGGTCAAATAGGCAGGTACGAAGCCCCGCCTATTTACGCGACTACGTAACCGCGCTGCATAGGACTGAACCAAGAGGGGAGGGGTGTTCTATATTAACATACTCCAAACGTTGAAATCTGATTGGTCCACACGGACCGCTCCCCGATTGATCCACTGAACGGCCGTGATTGGCTTTCTAAGAATCAACCGCGATTGGCCGAGCCGATCACAGGAGATTCAAAGCTCTGTCATTGGCCAGCAAGCCGCGAGCATTCCCTATATGAAGGGCTGCCGCAGCTCCAAGATCTTGTACAGGTCTTAACTTGAAGTTCACTAGTCTCGCGTCTCGTCTGTACCCGATCAAACAATAAGCATACAAGTAGAACCTCAGGTGACGACCATAATCTGTTTTGAGAATTTGGTCATCACTTGATTTGGTCATCACTGGAAACTCACTAAATAAGAATTCAAAATATATTTTGACTGTATTATACAGAGATCCTTATGACTTCATCTATACAATATTCTCAATATTTCTTTCTCCTTAAAAGCTTTCCTTATCTCATAGATAGAAATGGAAAAGAACCTGGTGCCAGTCTGTGCTAATGTGCCATCATCTAATGGGGAAAAATCTAGATCTTTAAAGCCTTATAAAAGGCCAAAAGGATAGAACTTTAGGGACAAGATGTTTCATAAGGCAGGGGCTGTACAGGTTGTACAGAATTATATGCATCTTGTTTGATCCTGCTTCCACATTTTTTTTATTAAGAGAGCCATCACTTTCTCCCTCTGCACACTTAGTGGCTTTACATTGCAACCTATAACTATGGCTGCAGCTCTTGAAAAAAACAGCTGGATGAAAAACTAGGCTGTTATATACAACCACGACTTTTAACAGAAATCTATATATGGAACAATGTCTTGACAAACCTCCTGGTGATTGTCTCCAGTTCTTCCTCTTGTCTTCACTCATATATTTGAATATTAGTGGCTTTACTAAAAATTTCATCAGCAGACATAAGACAAAATCAATTGTGCAAAATGTACATAGCAATGGATATATATATCATAGCAGCTCTTGTGGGGCCAGTCAGGTGCACATGAGGAAATAAGACCCCCTTTTTGCAAATTTCTTTTAATGACCAATTACAGATTTCTTTGTATGTTATCCTCCCCACCCCCAAAAAAGTAATCCAGAGCAATATGGGGGTGGGGGCATTAGGTTGTGCATTGTAAGACCCAATATTGGGGTAAGAGGAAGGGGGGGGAAACTCATACAGTTTTCCAAAAACCAAGATCATTCTGGATGGATGAATTATATATGGATTTCTTTTAATTTTTTTTTCTACAGATTGTGAGATGTATGAGCCAAATTATTCAATACTCACAACACAGAAACAGGTCTGGTTCACAATTCAAAGGTTTATTAAAGAAAATAAACATTTGCAAATGGGCCTTCAAGTCCCTTCCAAAGTGGATTGGGTACAAGAGCAAGCTTCCATATTCAAACAATACATTTTATACCCCTGCACAGAACACGCCACGCCTAAGAGGCCCTACCCACACACCCAGGGGTGGGTTTCTACCAGTTCTATAGAACTGGTTGTTAACGTCACTGGTAGTTCTAAGAACCGGTAAAACCGACCCCTGTTGGCCCTGCCCCTATGGCCCCCAAGCCATTTTTTTTACTGTGCATGCGCGAAAATCCCTTATTCTCTCCCACGCGCCCCTCCCTTCACTGGCCCCGTCCCCTGCCCCTATCCACCGCTCCAAAGTAAAAAAAAAAAGTTTTTTTTTAAAAAAACAGGGTTTTTTACTGTGCATGTGTGAAAATCCCTTCCTCATTCTCCCCCATCCGCCCCTCCCTTTGTTGACCCAGTCCCCCATCCCTATCCACCGCTCCAAAGTAAAAAAAACCCAATTTTTTAAAAAATGGTTGTTTTTTTTACTGCACATGCATTAAAATCCCTTCCTCATTCTCCCCCGCCTGCCCCTCCCTTCACTGGCCCTGGCCCCCATCCCTATCTGCCACTCCAAAGTTAAAAAAACATGTTTTTTTTAAAAAAATGGGTTTTTTACTGCGTATACGTGAAAATCCCTTCCTCATTCTCCCCTGCCCACCCCTACTTATAGTGCATGTGCACTAATTACAAAAATTTTCCTGCCCAGCACCATTGCTCACACCAGTATCAACAGCAGCAGCAGCAGTAGCTGAGCCAGCCAGCCAGCCGCCAGCCAGCCATTGCTGCTTGCCTTCTGCCGCCCTGCTGAGTGAGTGAGGGCAAGCCGCAAGCCCCGGTTGCCACTGCCGCTAACCGCCCTCACCCGGCTGGCCTGCCTTGCCTGGCCGGCCTGCCTTACCCGGCTGGCCTGCCTCCCTGGCCTGCCTGCCTGCCTTGCCCGGACTGCCTCCCGTGGTGGCTGCCATTAAAAAAGGCGCAAGCCACGGCCACCACCACCGCTAGCCATCCTCGCCCGCCCGGACTGACTAACCCGCCGGCCTCCAAAGATGTGGATCAGTAAATATGACCTCCAACCTGGTCGCCTACCTACCGCCGCCAGTCCCGGTTGATTGCCGACTCTCAGGATGCCCACTGCCCTTGCTGATGCTCCCTGCCTCACCCGCCCCCATCTTCCCTCGCCCACGGCCCTCCATTGTTGCTGCCTTGCCTTCCCACCACCAATTGGTAGTGAGGAGGCAAAGCAGCAAGTCCTACCGGCCTGGTCCCCTACCTCCTCCTGCTGCCACCATCCCCAGCCTGGTCGAGAGCCGACTCCCGAGCTGGCTGTCCTCATCGCAGCAAGCTTGAAGATTAAGGAGGACCCTGGTTAGCTAGCTTGCCAAGTTGCCTGTCTCATTTTTGGTAATTTACTTTTTTATTTATGTATTTATTTGTTTACTATCTGTTTTTGTTTTTATCATAAAAACAAAACAGATACTAAATAAATAAATAAATACATAAATAAAAATTATTTTACTATTCATCTTGATGTTTCTTTCTCCTTTGCTTTAAGAAACATCAAGATGAATAGTAAAATAATTTTTCATTCATTAAATTTATTTCATTTTCATCTCTTTGTTTTTCCACTGTTGTGCAAACATAATTCTAGCTGCTGTTAACACGCGTAACATTAAATATGAATTGTACTCCCTTTATTTATGTGGGTACCAACAAAAATATTTCTGGTTTTAAAATTTAAATCTATATGTTGCTTTACCATTTTTGCTAGCCTTGATACTATATCCTCTTGAATAGCTACACTAGCAGTGCCCAATACTGAATTCATACAGTATATTCCATTTTTTAAACTGAGGAATAAATTTCAGAAAAAGAATTCTGTATTGCTCTGTGAATGTGCCTATCAATTCCATTTGTACTCTAACTTCTTAGATGATTTTGTACTATTATCTTTTTTTTTGTACTTTATATATCTCCATAAGTGTAGAGTTGTAATTGCAGGAATATCTTTATCTTGGATGGCAAACCTCAAGAGAAAAGAATGTTTCCAAGCAAATACAACTCAGGCAAACAAAGTTACTCATCTAAAGGAGGATTAGAGAGAGGAAGTAAACATATGTTGGACTTTGACTAGAGATCATTAATTGTGTTAGTTACTATGCTGAACAATAACGAAAGTCAAGCAGAAACCAAAGTTAACCAATGTTGGAGGATAACTAAAAATGTGTATAAATGCAAGACTAGATTCCAATAAAGTTCATCATGAATCAGTTGATCATGATCAAACACCTCGACTGCCTCGTTATTACAACACATAAGGCTGGTAAAAGCTTCAGTATATTTTTAAGCTGCATTCTAAAAAGGTTAGGCGACCAAACATGGCTTCCTCTGGCTTCTCTCTCTCTGCTATAGAGAAAGCATTCCATTAGGGACTGTTGGTCCAGGTAAGTAGTCTTGGCTAGGAAAGATTTTTACTGGCACAAAATAACAAACTCCCTTGGTTTGTTAATAGTATTTCCATTTTAAGTATTTCTTTTTAATTAATGAATTGTAATTATGAAAATATCAGCCATTCTTTTATATACACAGTGCAACATCTTTTTTATAGACTGTCATTTTCAAATCCACTTTCATTTCCGTCTCAGTCTTGTCTGGTGAAACTTGTTCCTCTTCCATAACATCTTTTAAATACTAGCTAGCTATAGTGTCAGGGACTCTTAAAAGTAACTGAATATTACTGATCTCCGTTCCTCACCTGCTTTCTTCGCTTGCCACTGCCTTCACCACTCAACCTACAACAACAATCAAGTCCAACCACTACATTGTTAAAATTTTGCAGCATATTGCCAA